TTTCAAGTTCCCATGTCGCTTCCTCAACTCCATGGCGCTGCCATAATACTTTTACTAGGGGAATCTCACGATGACGCAGACTTTTTACTTTTCAGTCGAGAATCTGAACTGGTGCCTCCTCGTACGACGCGCCATACTGTATCGGAACGTCAAACCACTGCACTACTGTTTCTGGCTCAGGTTGACATTTCCGAAGCATGGAGACATGAAACACGTCATGCACGTGAGATAATTCAGGCGGTAAGACCAACCGGTAATCCACCACTCTGATGCGTTGTACGATCGGGAATGGTCCCACATACCTTGGTGCAAGTTTCCCTTTCACACCAAACCGAACGACTCCCTTGCGTGGGGAAACCTTCAGCAAGACAAAGTCGCCATCTTAGAATTCTAAAGGCCTACGCCTTCTGTCAGCATAACTTTTCTGACGACTTTGAGCTGTCAACAGTCATTCTCGAATCACAGCTATCTTCTCATTATTCTCTTGAATGACTTCCGGCCCAGTGCTCAGTCGATCCTCTGGTTCCAACCAACACACAGGTGACCTACAAGGACGACCATACAGAGCTTCAAACGGTGACATTCCAATACTGCCCTGATAGCTATTGTTATAAGCAAACTCAGCTAGATGCAGGTACTTCTTCCAGTTCCCACCAAATTCCAGAATACAAGCACGAAGCATATCCTCCAGAATCTGAATTACCCTTTCAGATTGCCCATCAGTCTGAGGATGAAATGCTGTGCTGAAATTCAAGTCTGTTCCCATGGCTTCCTCGAAACTCCTCCAATACCTTGCATTAAAGCCTAATCCCTATTTGGGGGCATAACAAGACTTGGTATCAGAGCCCTAGGTTTAGAACCTTAGGGTTTGGAATTATGCATACATGAATGACATTAGGAAACCACTAAAATGGTCTAGTTTTCTTTTCAGTTAAGAGAATCCTGCCGCGCCGTAGGAACGCTAACCTGCCGGCAATGCCGAATGAACAGCTTATGGAAGTTCCATCCAGGGACAGGAAGAGGTTGTAACTCTCCTGCCGGCTTTCGATGCTCAGCTTTAGTCCGGAGGCAAGTCACACATTCTGAGACATACTCACGAACGTCTCTTTTCATGCCTCTCCACCAGTACTGTCTTTTCAGGTCCTGGTACATCTTTGTACTTCCCGGATGTATGGCATACCTCAATTTGTGTGCCTCTTGCAGAATCGTCTTCTTTACCTCACCTGCCTTAGGAACAGCAAGGCGGTTGCGGAAATACAAGACTCCATCCTCTCGGATTTTCCAATCCTCGAATTGTTCTCCATTCTGGATTCGAATCCAAATTCCTTGAAGGTGTGGATCCTGTCATTAATTCTGCTTAACCTGTTGTACAATATCTGGTGTAGAGATCAAATTGTACACCATAGCCTAGTTATGATTTTCGTAGAACTGAAGATCATACTCACTCACCACTTCAGTCCTTTTCCAATCTTCCAAAGCTAATGACGCCAGAGTTCCCGTCGTCTTCCTACTAAGGGCATCAGCCATCACATTAGCTTTTCCAGGATGATATTGCAGAGTGAAGTCGTAATCTTCCATGTACTCCACCCATCTTCTTTGTCTGAGATTCAAGTCTTTCTGAGTAAACAAGTACTACAGACTTTTATGGTCAGAAAAGACCTGAAACTTTGCTCCATAGAGATAACATCTCCATATTTTCAGAGCAAATATTACCGCTGCCAGCTCAAATCATGAGTGGGGTAATTTCGTTCATGTGGTCTTAATTGGCAAGATGCGTACGCTACCACGCGCCACCTTGCATTAAGACACAACCAAGCCCACTTCCCGAGGCGTCAGAATACACCTCATATGGTTCTTCACTATCAAGAATAGTCAAGACTGGTGTACTTGTCAGTCTGACCTTCAGCTCCTGAAAAGTATTTTCACACTCAGCGACCCACTGGAATCTGACTTCTTTCTTAGTCAACCGAGTCATCGGTGCATCGATGCTCGAGAAGTCTTTCACGAAACGCTGATAGTACCCTGCAAGTCCGAGGAAACTGCGAATCTCCGCTACATTCTTTGACCTCTCCCACTGTAGCACAGTCTCAATTTTAGAAGGATCTACAGAAATTCCCTGTCCAGAAATCACATGCCCAAGGAATTTCACTTCTGTCAGCCAGAAGTCACACTTCTCCTTCTTAGCATACAACTGGTGTTCACGAAGAGTTTGGAGGACAATTCTCAAGTGCTGCTCATGTTCTTCCCAAGTCTTTGAGTAAACCAGTATGTCGTCAATGAAGAAAATCATGAACCGATCCAAGTACGGTCAGAAAACACGGTTCATCAAGTCCATGAATGCAGCCGGGGCATTCGTCAACCCAAACGGCATTACTAGAAACTCGAAGTGCCCATACCGAGTTCTAAATGCAGTCTTCGGAATGTCTTCCTCCTTGATTTTTAGCTGATGATACCCAGATCTCAAATCAATCTTAGAGTAGAACTGTGATCCACCCAACTGATCGAATAATTCATCGATCCTTGGCAGTGGGTACTTATTCTTTACCCTATTCAATTGACGGTAATCAATACACAACCGAAGAGATCCGTCGTGCTTCTTCACAAACAGCACCGGTGCACCCCAAGGGGAAGTACTATTCCGGATATACCCCTTTTTCCAGCTCTTTAAGCTGCATCCTTAATTCTTTCATCTCCGCCGGAGCCATTCGGTATGGAGGAATAGAAATAGGTGCCGTTCCCGGGACTAAATCTATACATAATTCAATTTCCTAATCTGGCAGTAAACCAGGTAGCTCATCAGGAAATACATCCGTAAATTCATCCACTACAGGGATTCCCGCACTATCTCCAGTTACCTCGGGTTCACCGTCTAAGGCAAGAAAGGAAGAAAAACATGCTAGATTCCTCCGTCCCCCAACACTGTACTTCAACAGTCGTTCTCCTAAGATTGGATTCAGATCTGCCTGATAAGAAATTGATATTCCAGACTTAGTCGTCAGAGTCACTCTCCGACGGTAACAATCAACAATTGCTCCGTATTCTGACAACCAATCCATTCCGAGGACCGCATCAAACAGGCTCATCGGAAGGATAATCAAGTCTGCTCTCATTCGCTCACCGCCAATCGCGATCTCACACGATTTACACACACTCATTACCTCCACACATCCCAGTGGAGAGTTCAAAGTCATCGGGACTTCTAAATTCACAGGTTTTAGTTTCAAGGCCCGAACAAAAGAACTTGATATAAATAAGTGTGTGGCACCTGTGTCAAACAACACGTGAGCAAAAGAATGAGAGATTAGAGTCATACCTTCAACCACTACGTTGCCGGTCTGACATCCAGAGCTGCCTCCTGCCAGGGCATAAGCTTGTCCCTGTACTTTTTCTTTCCCTCTGTCACCAACATTAGGCCGTTGAGTCGGAGGCCTATACTGTTGCGGCGGAGGTGGTTGCACCGGTCTCGGCGCTTGAGGCCAGAATTGTGTAAGCAGAGGGGGGTGGTAGGGCGGCACA